TCATTATTTTCTCATGTAACCATGGATTCCCCCACCACAAGTGAGAACATATTAATAAAATCTCAGAGATACCGCCCTCCTTTAACAAAAAAAAAATAAAAAATGTTTTGATTATAACAAAAAAATTAATCTTGTTTCCTAACAAATTGGGTTTTAATAATTATAGTATTCAAAGCATTCAATGCTAAAATCAGTCAATCAATCGTCATCGAAAGATCAAAATCAAGACTATCATCACAAATCGAACTTACTAAGAAGGTCAAGATCAAAGTCACGCATTCAATACAAAATTCTTCAAGATGAGCTTGAGAGCTAGACCAAACGGGATCAAAACGAGAAAATCGGTCGGACCAGTTGGTCAACGATTGCAACAGGTAAGAACCGACGGTCAATGAGACATAATCAACCGAAGGGTCATCCAGTTGATTAAAAAATCCAGCATTTCAAATTTTGACTGTTCTAACTTTTACCTTTTTGAACGAAGTCTTTAAGTTGAGTAATCTGAACTCGTACCGGTCGATTGATCCATCATTTGAACTCCTAGAAAGTTTTGTAAATTTCTCTATGAATATGTTTTCTTTTGCAATCAATACAAGATCTTTGAAGTGCATTTAAAAGGGAAATATTTTGAGAAAATCTTTAATCTTACATTGCATTTATTTCTACTTATTAATATCAAAAATTTTTATTGATTGAAATCATCTTATTAATCAAAGTTTTTCATATAACAGTTGAGCTATTATTTATTGTTATTCATTGAAGTGTTAGTATCTCATAGTACTTATACCTTGTTTGACAATTATTATTTCAAAAGCCTTTAATTCTCATACTTATTTTTAACCATACATTTACGCAATAAAATATTTTGCACGTAAATCCAAAACTGTTACCTACTTTTAACCATACTTTCTCCAAATGTTCACTATTCAAAACTTCATTTTCTCAAAATAATGGCCATCAAATAGGGGCTTAATTCTTTTGAATCATTTATTGAGAAAGAAGTTACATTGTAAAATCATTTCTTCAAACTTGTGAATCATATTGAGATCCTTTTAAAGCTCAATAATGTATAACAATTAGTGCTCTTGTTTGTGTTAGATTTTTAGTTGTACTGACAATTCTTTAGAGAAAATAATTATTATAAAGAGTTTTAAAAGTCAATAAGTCTTTTGGTGTGTAGTATAAATGAATTAAGAGTCTTTAGGTTCGAGTATGGAATACAGAGAAAGAATCGTCGGATTTACATTAGCTTATCGTCAAGCTGATGCTCGAGCATCCAAAACAGAAACGTTCCAACTGGTCTTAGAGATTGCAGGAATTAGATCAACGAGTCTAGTGAGTTTTCTAAACTAGATCATACTGTAAGTTCTTATTATCTATAGTGAAAGTTACTGTCTGGATCCCGAAATTTTTACTCAGTTAAGGGTTTTCTCCGTCATCAATTTTTTGTGTTGTTTACACTATTGATTTCGTACAAACCGGCAATTCAAAGTAGGGTAGTTGATTCATATGAATTGGATCTAGATTAATTAATTATTGTAACGTGTTGTAATATTAATCGACAATATTTTAATTCCGTATTATTCACCTATTCATCTCCCTCTAGGTGATTTTAGGGTCGAACTCCTAACGTAATGTTCGTAAGTCATTGAAAGGGTTGTAATGATTGTGATTACACTATAAGTCAATCAATATAGTGAAAATGTCTTGTTCCTAACAGAGAGCTTGGTAACGGGGGACGTAAATCATTGATTTGTATCGAACTTCTACAGTTATATCGTTTGCATTCTCTCACTTTTTTTTACTTATCATTATTTTGTTTTAGTTTATTATTTGATTAATCTACTTGTTCTTAATTTGCTTAATTTAAGATTAATTTTTGAAGAAATTTTTAAAAATCAATTCACCTCTTATTGGTTTGGTCATTATTGGGCTATAATACAACTCTTTGATGAAACAAGCACAACTAATCAAACAAAAATAAATGTACTTGAATTTCAGATGGATCCTTGAATCTTTCTAGATAGAGATAGAGAAGCGTGCAGCTCATTGCTTCTGCTTCAAAATTGACAAGCTCACAAGAGGAAATAAACAATATAAGATAAAGGGAAAATTGCAGCCGCGGTCCCTAACCTTTTCGTTTTTTACAGACTTTACCACAACATTCACTTTGTGCTACCACAGGTCTCAAACCTTTCATAAATATGCACCGGATGTCCATATGGACAGAAATCGTCCAAATTACCGTTAGTCAACCTGAAAAATTAAAAAATGAGATATTTTGACCATTTTAAGAAGGGGCATTTCCGTACATACAGTAATTTCCCTTTAAAAATAATAAATAAAAGAAAAAAATCACCATATTCTTCAAACACCCCAGCCCCACCCCACTCCCACCCTTCCCTAACACCAAAATCGTGCAGCCCACAACCTTATGGCCACCGCAAACGCTACAATGGTGAATCCTCAAGAGGGTTCTTCTTCTTCTTCTTATGCATCCAGTACCCATATATCTACTTCATTTTGAAAGAATTTTTGATGGTGGTGAATTCTATGAAAACTTGTACTTTGGACAATGGTGAATCCTCAAGAGGGTTTTGAGTTGATCATCAATTTCAACGCCAGGGACTCTAGCAACGTTCTTAATGCAAGGCCAGTTGAGGAGGTGTCCACGAAGATGACTTTCAAAATTAAAGCTGAGATCAGAGGGGACATGGAGGGCAAAAATGTCAAACATCTGATTGAATACGTCCACGTCTAGTTGCACTAAATTGTTGTTATTACTGGCGTCTTAGAAGGGGGACGAGTTTCTCGGTTTGAGGAGATTGTGTGAGTGGCCTTTATTGAGGGAGGGCCATACACGATGGTTGAAAATGACAAGTTTCTGATCGCATTGAGGAGGTGGTGGTGGAGAGGACGGATTTGGGAAAGAGGCCATAGCAAGAAATGAAGGGAGAGCGAGGGCGGAGGATGACAAATTTGGTGGCCAAGGTGGTGGCATTTGCGGTGACCACAGTGGCGGTGGGCTGCAGGATTTTGGTGTTGGGGAAGGGTGGGAGTGGGGTGGGTGTTTGAAGAAGATTGTGATTTTTTTCTTTCATTTATTGTTTTTAAAGGGAAATTATTGTATGGACGGAAATATCCTTACTTAAAATGGTCAAAATATCTCATTTTTTAATTTCTCAGGACTAAAGCTGATTTGGAGTATTTCTGTCCAGATGGACCTCCGATGCATATTTATGAAAGATTTGTGACATGTAGTGGCACAAAGTGAAGGTTGAGGTAAAACCTGCAAAAAACGAAAAAATTAGGGACCGCTACTGCAATTTTTCCTAAGCTAAAAGTTTAAAACATCTATCATAACAGAGAACAAAAATTGATGAATGGGGACTTTTGGAATGGACATTGAAGATTGGGGAATTGCAAGAGAAGATTTGAAAAATTCTATCACACTCGAATCAAATGCGAAACTGTCAAAATTTTGAGATTTGCAAGACAAGATTCTGGAAATCGTAGTACAGTCGAATGACGAAGTGTGACCTATACGAAGGGGTTGAAACAACCATCAATACAACAGCCAACGTGACTGAAACCAAGAGATTCTGGGAATTTCAATTCAGAATTCAATCGCCAAATTGCAAGACGAAAGCGTAAATCGCCAGAGAACACTCAAATGACGGGCTGACAAACATTGAGAGACCTCTCCATCAAACCGAAGCAAGAAAAATTTGGGAATTCCAATTCAAAATTGAATCAACGAAGACAATGTAATCAAAGCAAGAAGCATTTGGCAATTCCATTTAAATATTGAATTGACGAAATCGCAAGAGGAAACCAAGAATTGCGACAAAACACTGGCAAACCCTCTCTCGCTCAAATGAATGGCTCAAGTTTTTGTCTCTAAATATCGAAAAAAGAAAGAACAACTACAAAACGGCACCGTTTGGATTAGTACGAAAAGTGGATACGGAAGTGAAACAACTCTTTTAGTATAGATTACACATAGCCAAGTCGACTCCAATTTAATCTTTTATTTTTCTAATGAAACTAGCAAGTATGGTCGACTTTTTGTAACATCTCTCGATTCTCTTAATGCTTTACACCCCACCCGCTTTGCAGGCGGAGAGACAGAAAGGGTGTATGCTCTCACGTGCATACACAATTGGCGTGAGTTAGAACAAGCTACTCAATAGTATCTCTTAAGTACTTACTATTCAACCACGTCCAATACAACCAAACATGTCAGGAGTACATGTACATTTATTATGACTGTCTCAATATAATTAAATTTACCGATCAAAAAAAAAAACATGTCAGGTAACCTTGAATAGTAACTAGCCCAACAAACAAGGAAAAAGAAAACAAATTGAATTTGGATTCACCAACCTTACCGTGCACATGCCATAGTAACAGAAGAACAGAATTTCACATTGCCTACTTATTTTACCTGTTCGGTAGAAATTAAAATTCAAATATTAATTTTAGACAAAATTAACAATTAATTTTAACCACACATTTTCAACTACACAATTCATCATTTTTATCAAAATTTATTAAAAATCTGATTTTAATCCCCCGCGTATACATGATTGACACCCACGTGAAGATCTTGGACCCCACCCCGAAGCTAGAACTACCCTTTTCATTTCCTGTAGCAGTACGGCCCTTATTCTATTCCTTAATCAGATTGGTGGGCCCTGGAACTCCCTACTTGCTCCTCCTACTCTTATAGCTTCTATCCCATGCCTCCTACAAAGGCGGTCCTCCAATGCAGGACGTTAGGTTGGGTCCCCACCCTGTCCTCCTGAATTATTTGGCATGGCACAGTCTAAAAGGGGTAGTAGTTTTACAGAATTGCAACGGCTTTTTTCTATTGCCAATGAAATGCAAGATCAACATCGTATGTTCTTCACTGTCAATAAAGAACTCACAATTTCTAAATATTCTTTCCAAATCATTCTCAAGCTACGAAAAATTAAATTCCATAATAAATGAGCAATCTAAAAACATTTGCTGAGGTTCTTCGCCACATCTGCACAGGGAAAAAAAATGAGAAAGTAAATATCAAAAACTGGGGTATTTAAGAACGAATATACCTGTAGTGATTTGAGAGTTTACTAACCTAAAAGGAGGATAACGAGTTCTTGCAATCAAATAACAGAATGAATTTATAATATGATTCAATGACTTCCCCCAAATCCATCAGCAGAGGGTAGATTTACCAGGTTGGTTCCATTTTTTGCACGTCATCTGGGAGAAGAGGTGGATATAACATCATTTGATACAAGGGTGCGCTCAGGTAGATTAGAGCATTCGTGACTTTCGTGTAAAAGAGCCGCCTTCTCAGGGTTCATGATCAGAAGCTGCTGCACGTCTTTCGGAAGAACACTAAACACAGCCTGCAGATCTTTCTTCAATTTCTGGCCAACAACTTCAGTATCCGCATTAGCTCTTCCATACTGCTCCAGCAGAAAATTGCAATTAATGAGTGCATATAAAAAGCTATAGCTAGATTGAGAAACAGAAACCTACAGCAAACAAAACATAAAGTGCCAACAGTTGCAGCATTGAATGTGCACGACAGAATTGGCATATGAGATGCTAACTCATTAGCTTCCAAAATATTGAAGACTTCCCCACCAGTAATAAGCACTTGTAGCGTGAAACAAAGACACCAATCAGTACAAACTATTCCTTTTACGTATATTCTATGAAATAGGAAAATAAATGTTCTATTTTCTGTCCGTCTTTAATTCAAAATTGAGAGAGAGTGTGTAAGGAGCAGTAGTACAATGCCAATAAAGTAAGGCAATATAGACTTGCAGGTTTGCCTAGATTTGCAACTTCAAATATAACAATTAAATAATACTGGAAGCAGAATCGAGTAAGGTACTGAGAACGTGAAAATTTAAAAGAGCTGATTTCATCTAACTTACTCTTCATAGCTAGAACATGAAAACAATATAATGATATAAGGTATAGAGAAGGTGCAACAGTTGTACTCAAGCAAATTCTTACCCATTTTAAAGAATATGGAAAGGCAGTCAATGCCAAATTAGTAATTACAAAGTTTAAAACAAAAGGTAAAGAAAACATACATAGACAAGTCCCGACCACATTCGATACCAAATATGGCATTGTCAAGTGATGAATAAAAGACAACAAACACTTTACCAAGTAAGCTCTAAAACCCAGAGCTCTCATCATATAGGATGCAACCCAAGCCAATATTTGATAAGCGCGCACAGATACAAAATGCATCCAAACAAAACTTCCTTCTTCGTGATGACATTGAGTGGCATTCACATTAATTATCCACATCATTCAGATTGGTAGGCCGTTCCGCATTTACATAAATATCAAGATATATTCCCCGAAATGCAAAGATTGCATTACATGCTTCCACTTCACACAAATGCTCTACATTTATCAAATAATTGCAAATATCAACCTGTCGTCCAGAAAAATAAATATGAAAAGACGAAAGCTCCAGGCTGAATTTGATTTTTACTTGGGCTCTGAACAGAAAGATGGGATTATCACTAGATTAGCTACTTAAGCAGCTCAGTCAGTTACTCGGTGAGGGGAGTAGATAAGCTAATGCCCATGGAATTGAAGCCATACCCAATTAAGAAAGGATGTTATCCAAGTATACCAAGAAAGTAGTATTGCTCCTTTATTCATCTTTTGCACCCTAGTCACAGTGGCTGTATTTGCCCGATTGACACGTGTAATCTACTCGGTTACTAGAGGGCATTTTACCAGAGGTTACTAATCTACTCTAGGAGGAACTTTTTATGCAGGCTGGTTTCTACTTAGGCTCTCAACAAATAAGTACATTCTTTTACTTCAAATAGAAATTTACATTTTTATTTCCTTCATTATTTTCCATTCTAGTTATCCAACAAAGAGTTAGATCCGTTAACTAAGGTATTAGTTAGTTGCAACATTCCATTCCGTCAGAAATTACTCTTCTCCATTTTAAGTCAATCCTTACAGAATGATAATTGAAAGGCAGAAATGTGATCCAATAAATGCCAAAAGAGCTTGCACAAAGCAGATTTAAATAATTATTGACCATCCGTACTTTATGGTGTTGAGGGTTCGGCCACTACAGCACCAAATATTCATAATTTGAAATTAATGGAAATGGGGAAATTAAGATGGATGTAACGGGAAAGGTAAGAAATGGAAGAATGTGCAAACAAGGGGAATTGACACCAATTCAGAATATTTTAGAGAAGCTCGATATAGATAGCTGGTGTATGTCTTGAACTGTATTTTTATGTCTCAACACAAAAGAATTGTATTTTTATGTCTTGAACTGGAACTAGATATCTAATATTAATAGTTACAAAATATTCAGGCCAATTACAAAAGAAAAAACTACACGTATAAAGGGAACAGTTAAAAAATATAAATCAAACACATTTAACTGCAAATGCAACGTAGGAATTGGGTTCAACATTAATGATATCTACCAACATACCAAAACTAGGCCTTGGGTTTTTTGGGTTCAACATTAATGATATTCCAAACTTTAATTTTTTTACTAATCCAAAATGTCATTTTGAATATACCAAAATCAATTATTCACAAAGAAGGAAATAGGTATTGAATAAGGAGTTAAAACAAATAAAATAGAATGTTGGGATTTAGTTTTCAATTATAGGAATTACTAAATTTTATATAAAATATAAAATGAGAGAATTGATTGCAATTTGGACTTAGTGGAGCAGTAGTAGCTCTATATGGAACTCATTTTCATTTTATACAAACAAAATCTTAAACCACCGATACAAGGGAAAGAAAGAAGAAAGACGAAGAAAAATAAGGGAAAGCCTAACGCTGCCGCATTTTTCCACTATCTCGACGGAGACGCTAGGTTTATAGAAAGCAAAAATGGGAATGAAGAAAAGGGAATGAAAATGAAAAGAAAAAAAAAAGAAAGAAGAAGAAGCAAAAACGACGAAGTATCCGATTGAAACTTGGAGGATCCGACATGTATCCCATACTTGTACCCAAGTCGTGTCATGTCCGACACGGGTACTCCAACTATTTCGAAGAGTTCGANACACTCTACAGCATCTATACATTTCTACTTTAAAAATAAGCAACATGTTGTGCAAGACCATTGTGGAGTTGTAAAAAGTCTTACTAGATTTTTCTGGGCATCACAAACTGTTGAGAATTAGAAACCCTAATCTATTTCACTAAGAACAATCAATTAGAAAAAAGTAAAGTCACACAAGATTTATAGAGGTTCATATTACTTTCAATAATTCACTATTATGAAAAGAAGTTTACAAGAGAAAATCGCACGCATATCTTATTTAACATCTCTTATCTTTTATGATGGTAATACAAAAGCCCAATAACGACTCCCAATTTTGTAAAATCAAAATTTATTAGAACAAAAATTCCTAATACGCTCTTTCTCTAACCTCGATCGGTATATTAGCTCTGTAAAATGGCAATAATTAGGCTTCACAACTTAAGAACCTAATATTTTTCTTTAAAGCAAAAACATCTAGTGAAGCTGGTCATCTTGCTAGAAAAAAGGTTCTAGAATGTACTGATACAGTTTGAATGACTGGGACAAAGAAATTTTTCTTGTTTTCTCTCACTTCACATTCTTGTTTCCTTTAGAAGGTAGCTTGCTTTAGTGTATTTTAGTGGTGCAAAATAGACAAGCAAAGCAGAATGCATAAAAGAAAACGAGCGTAACTTGATTGAAATAAACAATATCCTGGGATCAATCAAGCCCAATATATGAAAGCTTTTAACTCTGCTATGACTTAAAATATATAGTTATTAAAGTTGAAGTATGAGACTAAGATATTACTTTTAGTTTTCCAGAAACAGAAACAAAAATGCAATAAACTAGACGTAACTATAAAAGCAATTAAATATTTATTTTAAAACAATTTAAATCAATTTTATGTCATGCTAAAATAACTATGATATTTTGACAACACAGCCTACAAATAAATTTTGCTGAATTTGAGCTAAACTTGATTACTGAACACACTTGAAGTCACTCTTATGTACTGCTGGTGTACTCAGCTATCAATGAAGAATTGGTTGTGAAAGGAAACTGTAAACACCTGCCTTTTCCCCAACAACTAAAGCAGAAAACCTTAAAGAAATAGTTTCACTAGTTTCGCCAGAAAGGTACAGAACCATGGAAGCAACATAGAAATAGATATTGCCTCTGGAGAAAATTTACAAAGCTTCAAATTACGTCACGCTTTCACAAAATCAATAATTCACATTTAGTTTCAAAATTCCTGTACAACCAAAAATGCAACCAAGCTTCATCCTGCCTGACACTGAACCATCATATACTAAATTAAACACCATTATTAAAGGTTATGAGAGGGCGGATTAGTCATATACCAAGCTTATTATGACTCTGATTTAGGATTTCCTACAGCACAGGCAAAATACCTAATTGCAGCTTACCAGGAAATTTTTTAAACCAATAACAACTCAAAGACCAAGTGTCAGAAGTTCTAGTTGTCTATCTCCATCTAAATTAACATGCTTGGATTCTTTGCAAACTAGGAGTTGGTTCTCAAGATTCAATTAAAACCTTTTGAAGTGAACAATTTATATTCATGTATAACAATTAGATGGTAGAAGACCAATATCAAGTTGATTTCCATCTTTAAGCATAGCGATCTCCATGTCTACGAAAATTAAGGGGCTAAAAAGAGAACAATTTTAGGAAATACAAAATAGACAAACAAACTGTTAAGATACACTAAAGGACCATGTTATTACTCCTACGCTCAAGAGCAGTAAGTATTATATACAAATTAAGCCAAAGTTTCACTTTTCAGCTTTATGATTACATTTCCAACTTCTTATTTAATGCAATTAACGATACCATACACTATTCCGTCACAAGACCGCGGTCTACTCAAAATGTTCTCAACGTCCACACTAATTGAGTAACAATATCAGGAGGAAATATTGAAGTCAAAATAGTAAAATCCAAATACACCCTACATGAAGGAAAAATTTATGGCAGAGTTATCTGAATTTGACACTCAACTGTAAGAAAAAATTAGCCAAGTAAACACCCTTAGTGAGTGAAAATAGATTCTCCAGCATGAAACATAAATGGACTACTTAAAAAGCCTTCAAATATACAATTCGCCAATTTCCCAGCCATTGGGGGGAGGATAATTTTAGTGCATGCATTGACCTCTAGGATAATATGACTGTCACGGCCAGTTTGGCATGGCTTTTGTTTTTGCCTTTGCTTCCTGGAGAAGAGCTTTTGAAGGAAGCTGCCATCATTTTTGTTTGAAAATTAATTTTTTATCTCTAGGATAATATGACTATCAGAGCCCATTTGGCATGGCTTTTGTTTTTGCTTTTTCTTTTGCTTCTGCTTCCTGGAGAAGAGCTTTTGGAGGAAGCCGCCCTAATTTTTGTTTGGAAATTAATTTTTTTAAAAGCCCCTCCTACTCCGGAAGTACTTTTAGAGGAAGTCACATTGGACCAACTTCCTCTAAATGCACTTCTAACTATCTAAGCACTTTCATAAAATTAGTCAAAAAAGGTCCAAAAGTAGATTTTGGGTCTCAAAAGCTCTTTTTGGCTTTTCAAAAGCCACGCCAAACAGGCCCTTAATAGAATCCATTCTATATGTGTCATTTATCTAGATCTTGAAACTGTTTTGTCTGAATACAATATCAATAGGCATACCTTGGTACATAAGTTAAACAAAACCCAATATGAGAACCAAAAGAGTTCACTTGAATTTAGAAAAAGCACTTGCCTGCATTTCTCCTAGAAGCTGTCTCTCAATTGCATTGAACAAATCAACAACTTCCAATTCAGACATTTTAGATATCAACTTCTGTATGTTTGTATTAATACTAGCTTGCCTCCACAATTTATATTGTTCTTGCTCCGCAACAGCACGCTTTCTCCGAAACCATGGCAAAAAGTTGTGTCCTTTCAAGAACCGCCTGCATAGAAGTATAAACCACCTCAATCTCAATGATTAAAAAAAATGACATAAACCAGATGAGTTCTAAAATATAGAAGATAAGCCTACGTCTAAGACTTCAATACAAGAAGTGCTTCTTGGGGAAATTGAGATCTTCCAGAGATGCAAGTAACAGCAACAAACTAATGAGAATTAAATAAGAGCTTAGGAGGGTAACAGATGCATTAGGAAATCTCTTAACATTTGATATGACCATATAGAGGAGCATTGGTATCAGATGGTACAAATTTGCAAAACAAGTAATCTATCAGGTGGGAGTTGGGAAAGGATTCAATTTTGGACTGGTGGATGGTATGAAAAGAAGCCTTTGCAGCAGGACTATCCTGCCTTTTGTTGTCGAAGGTATCCAAGCAAAAGACGGTAATGTGGTGAAAAGTAATTGAGAAATATTTTGCAACCCTAAATTGTAGTGAAAATGTAAAGACCAGGAAAAGGAAAGTGTATTAGTAATGTTGCAAAAACTTTAAGAAGCTCTAGTGAAATAGAAGACAGACAGAAATAGGAGAAAATATGTTATTAGTCTCTACCTAAATAATCACAAGGAAGCAGAAAATGTAATTTAGGGAAGCATGGAAGGATAGAGTCACTTCATGGTGAGGAAACAACTCAACAAATTAATCTTACAAATGACAATTATATTATCTCCATAAGAAAGATGAATACGCTGCCAAACACATCTTCCTTTATTGTTATGTAGCTAGAGGCTAGAGCTTTATAGTCACTTTGATAGAAACTTGCTTAGTAGTCTAGGTTGTGCCAGTCATAGTTAAAAGGGAAATTGCAGCAAAGATCCCAACTTATGGCCTTTGTAACAACTACATCCTCAATCTTTTTTGCTTATTAAGTATCCAATCTCTTTGCTTTTTCATTTTATTTTACTTTTTCTTTTTTATCTCCTATTTTAATTGAGAATAAGAGTACAATCATCCTTTCAACAGAAATCTAATTTTTAATGGTCATGGATAGGTTTAAGAAACAGCTCTTGTGCTAATTATGGATACTTGGGAAGGACTAAATGATAGAACTTTTAAGCAATTCTTTAATTCTACCCATCTGAAAGGACCATAGAATTGAAATATATTATTATTATTATTAAAAGTAGGCATACAATGTACAAAAAGTTTATACCCACAATACCCTGATACTTGTACTTTATTCACATATCCTTAGCAAATAAACACAATTATATAGCAATGAGACACTTCTCTGCACATAGGATTCCACCCCCACCGTTGTTGAAACTCACTTATCACTAAAACAATTTACATACCAATCAATATAACAAGAGGTGGAAATTTAACATCATTACCTGTATAGATCCAGCCAATTTGACCTCATTCTCTTCAGTAGAAATTTGCCAGGACCTCTTGCTGATAAGTTCGATAGGAATTCCTCCGTATTGAATGAGGGTAGGGGAGGGGGATCAGAAAATGGAGGTGATCCTTCAGAAGGTGTTGATGCTTTGAAATATGGGCCAAAAGGGGCCAAGAAATTAGTGGTGAGCTCCAAAAAATGGCGACGTAATATATCGTTGTTAACAACTGACATAGACTCCTCAACTCTTGGAGACATGCCCGCATCAACAAGCCTATTCAGGATAGACGTATCCGGCTTTGTCACTGCAGCATAATTTGTCCAAATGGCTTCTTTGTGCTCTGTCATCAGACATAAAGGGCCATCTCTCCTCAACTTCATAGCATTCAAGAAATTTGATGGAGAAAACTTCCTTAAAGAAAGACGCTGATTTAATCCTTCATGTCCAGCAGGATTTCCCCCAGTTGAAGCCCTGGAACCAATGGCAGAACGAATTGAATTTGAAGCAGGACTACCAACTGAAACAATGTGAGGCATATTACGCAGCGCCTTTAAGAAAAAGAGGTTTGTCACACCCAGAATCATCGGAGGAAATGAAGCCCCCTCTGGAAGACTGTTTAAATGCGCAAATTCTGGATCATGAATAGTAAAGTATGGCCTAAAGTCAATGCTGCAAATAAGAGGGGCAACTAAACTAACTAGACCAGCAACAGCTTCACAACACTGTGGAGGTGTTGGTGCTATGATTAGAATGGGCTCCCCAATGAGTAACAATTCCCACAACTTCCAGAGCTGCATCAGTAGCCCCCTAAATGCGCCAAAAAGATCTGAGTCATGAAATAAACCATGTGGTACAGACTGATTTGAAGGAAGCAGAGGAGCCAGTGATGAAGCAGAGTCCTCGAAGAACACACCATTATCTGATGGCAAGCTATGAGAAGGCGGTAAGTTCACTTTAAGTACTGCATTGCCAATAGGAAGCTCCATTAGCTGTCCAGGAATAGGGGTAGGCCACCTTGATACATAGGCAGCAATATAATTAAGAGCTTTCTTTCCAAGGTCAAAGTACAAAGGGCCCATGATTTGTAACAGAGGCCTAAACACACTAGAGTAGGGGCTGTGAGAAAGAATTACCACTGATTTTTGCTCACCACCTCGCTTTAACCTCTCGTCATGTCTCTGCCTATTAAACACAAACCCATGCAAGTATTTTGAGGTAAAGCTATGGAAATTTCTATTTCTTAGGTTTAGCACACCTGCAGTCACTGGTTCTTGGGATACTTCATTATTATCTACTTCAAACATGTCTGATGGTGCCACATTGACCACTTGAGAAGTTTCCCTTCTCCTAGTGCGGAAGAAGAAGATACAATCATGGATGCTTGACCGGTTATGATACTGGGAAACAGAATCTGGAAAAGAACTAAAGGCAACTTCAAGCTCTTCATTTTGGCTAAGACAGCCAGGTGGATAACACTCCTCGATGAGCTGACCCTGCTCTAGGTCAAACCTAATGATACAAAATGCAACGATCCATTTCTGCAAAGATCTTTCGTCGACTTTTAAGTCAGGTTCTGACTTCACAGAAAATGTAGGAGATCGGTTCATTTTCAGCTAGCCCAAAACCACCAGTCATCCATCAAATGCACTCCATTTTCAGCATAGGATATGTCTTGATCACTGAAATTTGCAAAGTTGTATCACCAACTCAAACCCGAAAGGAGAAAAATTCCCAAGGGAACTGCAACTAGTATAAGATGTATAACCTTCTCCGGAGGAGAGCTCCTTATGACAAAATAGAACCCACGAATATGCAATAATCGGCAGAATAATAATCAAGATGACAAGATCCACCACATATATCAGGGAAATGAGGAAAACTCTTACAATACAAGGTTGATTTGAATCATCATTCATGCAAAGTAAATGGAAGTTAGAATTAACTAAATTCAAGAAATCACAAAATAAGAAAATGCTAGAAATCAGATAAAAAAATCAAAAAAACTCAATTCATAAAATGCACTGAAAATGCTATTATCATCCGAGTAAAGAAACAAACTTCTTTCTGAAGAGGGAAACCCACATAAAAGCATCAAAATTAAGCCTTGAACCAACAAATTATCATACGTTTACGAAACAGAAACACGCATTAGTATGAATTTGTTCATTAACTCACATTCAATAAAAAGTTCAATTATTACCTAGATTGCACACGTATGCAGAAGCTGTAATCAGCCAAAAGCATTTTGGATCTGCCAAAATCGGATGAACAATCCGGGCGACGAAATTTAGAAAAAGAAATCAAGATCTTGTATGGGAATTTGCTGTAAGTATAAGTTGGATTGAAGGGTCTTTTTGAGTCTAATTTTGAAAAGTTTTGATTCTTACACGACTGAAATGAATTTTGTTGGAGCAAAATTAGGGTCTCTTTTATACATCTTTTTGGGTTTCTATGTTTGGATTTTCACGTTTTATTTGTTTTTTTTTTTTTTTGGGAAAATCTCAACGACGGTCCCTAACCTTTTTAATTTTTATAGATTTTACCCTAATTTTCAATTTGTGCCGGATAAAGTCCCTAACCTTTAAGAAATATGTACCAGAAGTCCAAATGGATGATTTTCATTCAATTGACCATTAGTTGACCTGAAAAATGTAAAAATTAAATATTTTGACAGTTTTAAGAAAGGACATTTTCGTCAATCTCATATAAAATAAATTAAAAATACCAAAAAGAAGAAAAACTCTCATCTTCTTCCTACCTCATTTTGATTTCCCCCTCCTCACCTTAAACCCTCCCATAAACACAAATGTTCATCTGCACAAATCTTTGTCGTTTAACCCCGATTTTTCTCTCTCCACCTTCGCCACCACCACAACCACCAAAGATTAGTGGGCTTCTACTTGAAAAGTTGTTTATATAAAGAATCAAATGCCCACAATTTCAATTTCGAATGGCCTGCCACAATTTATGAAGCAACAGTAGATCCTACTGTGTTGGTGCACAACTGCTACTTTAACCAATCCAACATCCCATTATTTCTGCAATATGATAGTTCATCTGAAATTTTCTTGAATTCTTCTTGTAGTCTTTCCATCAGATACGAATGTGTTATGAAAGAGAAAAATAGGATCAATGGAAGTGGCAGCAAAAGAAGAAGAGAAGCGAACGCAAGCCAAGAGGGAAAGAAGAAGATGAGGAATAATGGTCACAACCAATTTTCAAATTCAACACGACATCGTTTTACGTTAGGAATTAAAGTGTCATTTTGAGTTGTAAATGATGTCGTTTGAGTTGTAATCAATTTTAAATGTCAGTCATGTTTTCCTTCCTCACATTCACGTTTTCTTCATTGCTGATTGGTTATATAATTGTAATTATGAGAAAAGAATAGGTGTGATGTGAATTGGAATTCTTCCTCTCCAAGTCTTCTTCTACCTCTTCCTCTTTCTTCATCAATTTCTCTATAATTTATTCTTCTATTGTTACTATTTCCTTCTGAATTAATAAAATTCCATTTGTCATTTGAGTTTGTTAAATCAATCGGTGTGTAATTGGTGTGGTGCTGAGAATCAACCATTACATTTGGTATCAGAGTAGTACGTGACTTGGGAGAAATGGAAACTCAAAATAAGTCCTAGGAAGAGCAAATTAAAAGGATTGATAAGGAGCTGGCCAGCTACGTGTAGCTTATCAAAATACGGATCAAGCAGTGAAGCATCTCTATGGTAGACATGATACACTCGAAGGGTTATTGGTGGAGATGAACAAAAAATATGAGAACATTGTAGGGATGTTAGCTAAGATGAATGGAGGATCAGTTAGCTCTGGGAATTCTTCACCCGAAGGAAATGGCAAAGGGATACATGTAGATGACCAACGGTCTCCCATTCTGTCAGAGGAAAGGGTGTTAAACAATGTGACAGGGAATTCTTCTTCACAAGGAATGAATATGTGAGATTACAGATTGAACACAAAAATCTCTAAGATTGATTTTCCATACTTTAGTGGAGAGGGCCCCAGAGAATGGGTAAAAAAAGCTAAGAAATATTTTTCGATTCATCAAGTGCTTGAAGAAATGAAAGTGGGCATTGCTAAAATGTATTTGAAGGGGAAGGCAGATATATGGTTTCATGGGTTTATAAGTTCCAGGTGCAGACTGGGGTACATTGTCCACCGAAATTTGTAGATGGTTTGCAGAAAATACAGCTGATGAAGTAATTGAAATTTTCATCAAGATAAGGCAGAAGGGATCTATTGCTGAATATTAGGAACAATTTGAAGAATTGAAATCACAGGTGATGTAATCATTGCCTCAGCTTCCTGAATCCTATTACATATCCATTTTCACTAGTGGCTTGAAGGAAGAGATTAAATCTATGGTGAAAATCATTAAGCCTACAACCTTAGCCAAAGCTTTTAAAGTAGTTCTGTTGCAGGAGAACACCATTACAGCCATAAATAAAGGAGCAAAGCCCTATAAACCTTATGCACCAGCCAAATGGACCCCTCCTAATACCAAACCAACTGGAACCACCTGTAAAGATACACCCCATACTAAACCAAATACAAAGAACCCAAACAACTCCTTGAAATTCAAAGCTATCACACCTTCTGATTTCCAAACGAAGAGAGAACCGGGGTTGTGCTACATGTGTGATGAGAAGTACACACGTGACCACATATGTCAGAATAAGATGCTGAATTTCATTCTTATAGATGAGAAAGAACAATGGGAGGATATGAAATTACCTGGAGGGGAGGGGGAGCAAGAAGTCGGGAATGAATTGAATGAAGTAATGGAAATTTCAATTCATGCCTTGATAGGCAACAATCGAACCAAGACTATTAGGCTCCCAGAGAGCATAAAAAATAGGAGGGTCTCTATATTGATAGTGGGAGTACCCCACAACTTTATTGATGATCACTTAGCCAGGAACCTTAATTGCATAATGCAGCCAGTTAAGCCAGTGAATGTGACAGTGGCAGATGGAGAGTAATTGGTGAGTAATGCCATCTATAACCCATTAATAAGATGATATAGGATTTGGAGTTTCAGTATCAATTGAGGGTCTTCAAATTGGGAAGTAGTGACATGGTTCTGGGGGTTGATTGGTTGAGCCAGTTCAACCCTGTGCTCTTTGATTTCTGGAAAGGAAGTATAACCTTCACTCATGGTGGTACCTGGATGGAACTAAGTAAGGAGGCTGTTAATGAAGAGTGTCATATGATGACAGAAGAGGAGGAAATGAGAAGGTTCAAGGGGCAAACTTATGGAGTGATAGCATAGATTGACTTTAAGTACTGACAAGGAACTAGAAATAGTACCAACTAAAATTCAGACAGTGATAAACAAATTTTCAATGGTTTTCTCATAACCAAAAGGCTTACCTCCACTCAAGTTTAACGACCATCACATACCAATTAAAGAAGGAGCACAACCCTTCAAACTGAGGCCATATAGGTGCCCCTACGTACAAAAAATAGAGATTGAAAGGCTGGTTAAAGAAATGAAGGAGAATGGAATAATTCAACCAAGCACTAGCCTTTATGCATCTTCTGTCTTACTAGTTAAGAAGAAAGATGGTACTTGGAGGTTTTGTGTAGACTATAAATAGCTAAATAGCCTTACCATCAAGGATAGGTACCCTATGCCTCTGATTGATAAGCTACTAGATGAATTAAAGGGAGCAAAATGGTTTACCAAGATAGACTTGAGAGTAGGGTACCACCAAATCAGGGTTGCTAAAGAAGACATTCACAAAACAACTTTTAAGACACATGAAGGGCTCTATGAATTCAGGTTAATGCCCTTCGGACTCACAAATGCTCCTGCCACTTTCCAATAATTGATGAATAAAGTTTTCAGGGAACAACTAAGGAAATATATGTTGGTCTTCTTTGATGACATATTGGTCTACAACAAGGACTTGGAGACCCAACGCAAGCATGTGTTTGAGGTTCTAAAGCTACTAAAGGAACACCAACTATATGCTAAGAAGAGTAAATGTTCATTTGGGTAGTCCAAAACAGAATACTTGGGACATATTATCACATCTGAAGGAGTGTCTGTAGATCCCTCCAAGATTGCTGCTATCCAAGAGTGGCCTACACCTTCAAATGTTAAACAGTTAAGGAGGTTCTTAGGATTTGCTGGCTATTATAGAAGGTTTGTGAGAAGATATGGGGCTATGGACAAACCAGTAACAGATCTTTTGAAGAATGATAAGTTTCAGTGGAATGAAGCAACTAATCTGGCTTTCCAAGAATTAAAACTTGTTATGAGTAATACTCATGTATTGGCTCTCCCAGACTTTACCATTCCCTTTGTGATAGAAACGGATGGATGTAATTGTGGAATGGGGGTTGTTTTAATGCAGAATAAAAGACCTATTGCCTACCTAAGTAAAGGGTTCAACAGTAGGAATTTTGGTCTATCCATATATGAGAAAGAAGTCCTAGCACTTGTGACAACAGTAGGGAAGTGGAGGTACTACCTAGAAGGGCATCACTTCATCATAAAAATCGACCATCAGTCCCTTAAATATTTGCTTGAGCAAAGAATTACAACCCCAATGCAGTAGAAATGGTTAATCAAACTATTGGGCCCTAGCTATGAGATCCAATATAAGAAGATGATAGACAATAAAGTAACATATGCCCTGTCCAAAGAATAGAATAATGAGGAAGCTGAATGTTCTGCCATAACAACCATGACCCCGGCTTGGATTCAGAAAGTGATTACAAGTTACCAAAGGAATGGGTAAGCTGAAAGTAAAATCACTGCCTTACTTCTTGATGGAAAATCAGAACTTGATTATACCTATAAGGATGGGTTGCTTAAGTATAAATCCAGGATCTACGTTGGCTCTGAAGCAAGTGTGAGTGATAACCTAAGAATAACTAACCAAGAGGGGGGTGAATTGGTTTTTGAAACTTTTTTAACACTTAGTCTCAAAACAATATAATATACAAGATATAAATGTAAAGTACAATACTAGAATTGAATGTGCAAGTTTGATAGCTTAATTCAAGTATGAATATATCACAATATAAATGACAATGTAAAGTAAAGTGCAATAATGTAAAGATAACAAGCCAATTTAATGGGGTTTGGTACACAATGTGTTCTACATCCCCGTTACCAAGCTCTCCGTCACGAACAAGGTCAAATGCACTATAATGGTAACTTACAACAAGGAGTACCAATACTTAAGTGACTTACAATAAGGAGCACTTATCCTTAG